TTGGGTTTTTTTTCTTTAGCTGTATTAGTCTCTTAAATCATGTAGAAAAACAAAAAATGCAGTTACAAGCCATTGCTCCCATAGCACCTGTATTTATAATTGCCAGTGTGTTTACCTTTATTAAGCTTTTTATTCCTCTGTACAGCTTCACCCTGCAGGGCTCCCTGGAGTATATCTTGCAGAGCAGGTCTAGCAGCCATCGGCTCCCTCAGTTTTTGTTTATTTGGCAGTGTCTTAATTTTTCTTACATTCTTGAAGGACAGCATTGCCAGATATAGGATTCTTGGTTGATAGTTTTTTTTTTCTTTAGATTTTTTTTTTTTTTAATTTTTTTTTTCAACGTTTATTTATTTTTGGGACAGAGAGAGACAGAGCATGAATGGGGGAGGGCAGAGAGAGGGAGAGCGCATGGTGAATGAAACAGGCTCCAGGCTCTGGAGCCATCAGCCCAGAGCTCTCATCGCTGCCTGAACCTGTCATGAGATCGCATCTGGCTGAAGTCGGAGGCTTAACCGACTGCGCCACCCAGGCACCCCTTCTTTAGATTTTTGAATGTATCAGCCCACTGTTTGCAGTCTCCAAAGTTTCTGATAAGGAATCTGCAAGTAGTCATACAGAGAGGATTGCTTGTGATGGTTTACTTCTCCCAAGAGTCTCTCTTTGGCTTTTGAAAGTTTGATTGTAATATGTCTCACTGTAGGTCTCTGAGTTCATCTTTCTTGGAGTTCATTGAGCTTCTTGGATGTTTATATTTATGTCTTTCATCAGAGTTAGGAAATGTTCAGCCATTCCAAAATTGTCTCTGCCCCTTCCACTCTCTTCTCTTTCAGGGACTCCCTCACTGCCTATGTTGGTCTACTTAATGGTTTCCCTTAGGCTCTGTTCACTTTTCTTCAGTCTTTTTTTTTTTTTTTTTTTTTTTTTTTTTTTTTTTTTTTCCCTCCTGTTTCTCAGACTCCATCATTTCCATCGTCCTATCTTCAAGTTCACTGATTCTTTCTCCTGCCTGCTCCAGTCTGCATTTGAATCCCTCTAGTGAATTTTTAAATTCCAGTTACACTTTTCAGCTTTAAGAATTTCTTTTGGTATCTTTTTAGGTTTTCTTTACTTCTTTACTGCTATTTTTATTTGTTCACACATTGTGTTCTTAACTTTCTCTTTCTTTGAGCATTTTTAAGACCGTTCTTTTAAAGTCGTTGGTGTACTTGCCGTTAGGTCTTTTTCAGGGAAGGTTTCTGTTGTTTAATTTATTTCCTTCAAATAGACTGGCCTTTCCTGTCTCTATGTATGTCTTGTGATTTCTTTGTTGAACACTGGAAATTTGTATTTAATAATGTGATCACTCTGAAAATCATACTTCCCCCTTCCCCAAACTTTGCTTTTTGGGAGGTTGTTAATTGTTTTGGTTTTGTTTGTTTGTTTGTTTGTTTGTTTTCCATTGTTGTATGTTGTTTCTGTGTCTGGGATCAGCTTGGGGTGTCACTCAAGCCTTCTCAGGTCTTTACTAAGCCTTTCCGTGGGAACACATGGGTCACTTTCTAATTGCACCCAAGTATATAGCTGTTCTTTTAACATCCTACTCTTTAATGTCTAGCTCCCAGAAGGGAAAAAAGCAAAAAATGGTGAGGAGAGGATGCCAGCCTTTTAAATCTCCTAGAAGTCCCTTCAGCCTGAGGGGGAGGGGCTTACAACAGTCAGGGGGAGGTACAGCGTGGTTGGCCACCTCCATCTGCACCTCTGTGATCTGAAGCAATAATGAGTCAGAACAGAGATTCCCCCCAATACACTGATACTTGGAGGATGGGTTTCTTTTTGCCCACCCTGGCTCCCCCAGGCTGTGTGCAAGCTGCTCCAGGATCATGTGCACAGCTGCCTGGAGCTTGGCTGTGAACGGGAGATGGAAGCCACTGTGCCAGGAGCTGGAATTGACCAAAATTAGCTGCAGTTTACCACCCAAGTCTTCCCCTGAAAGTTGCATGCCTACAACAGACACCAGAGTTCCAAAATAGTTCTATCAGACAGATTCGGCCAGTTCAGTTATCGACCAGGTAGGGAGACAGATTCCTGGTCCTGCCTACTCCAACGTCTTCCCGGAATCCCAAAATTTTCATTTCTGACAAGTTCCAGGGTGATGCTTGTATGCTGCTGGTCCAAGGACTACACTTTGAGAACCACTGAAATACATACATACATACATACATACATACATACATACATACATACATACAAAACAAACTCTTTAATGTCCTTTCTTCAAGACCCAAGTATACCATAACGGAATCTTTCTCCTCTGGATGCAATATAGTAAATTAATTATGCTTTTTAACTGAAAGAAACAAGTATCATTGATGAGTGGTGAGTTTGCTTTCTTTATGCAAAAGATAGTACCTGTGGTCTGTGGGCTGATTCAGGGCAGGGAGCATTGAGAAGCCCTGCAGGGGCTGCAGGGGACAGAGTCATGTGCTGAGGTAGAAAGGAAATGGACCTTGTTCACATCCAAGCTTGATTGCTTCCCTTTCCTGTCTGTGAACTTGGGTGATGACAAATCCTGCTCTCCAGGTTGCTTTTCATAGGGGGTCTGTGTAGAATGTCTGTTTTTTTTGTGTTTTTTTTTTATTAAAAAGTTTTTAATGTTTATTTATTTTTGAGAGAAAGAGAGAGCGCAAACAGGGGAGGAGCAGAGAGAGAGAGAGAGGGAGGCACGGAATCAGAAGCAGGCTCCAGGTTCTGAGCTGTCAACACAGAGCCCAACGCGGGGCTCAAACTCACGAACCGCGAGATCATGACCTGAGCCAAAGTCCGACGCTTAACCAACTGAGCTACCCAAGTGCCCCAAAAGTGATTTTTTTTTTAAGTGTCCTCCCCCTTAACAGTCTGGAGATGGGATGGTCCCTGACCTAGTTAATGTAATCCTTAGCAGGGTCTCAGAGGTCCAGGTTCCCTCCACCCTGTCACTTTGCTGTCCTCAGCAGCTTGGGCTTTATCTTCACAGCTGTCCCCTCGTGGTGATATGAAGATGGCGGCAGATCTTACCATCCCATCCTCACGGAGGCCGAGTGAGCAGACAGCCTGTTCCTGCCTCTTGTCCCTTTTTAAGAGGGGTGAAACTTCCTTAGAAGTTCCTTAAACTGCAGACTTGCCTTCCAGAAATGCTTGCTGCACCCACCTGTAAATGACCACCACTGACTGAGATTCACTCTCCAGGGTAGGGAGGGCCTGGAGCACAAGCGCTCTGGATACCTGACTGTTGGGGGCTCCTGGAGTCAGAGGTGAGGCAGCAGGAGTTGCTGCGGGCAGGGCCCCTGACCAATCAGCCATGTTCCCTTTGTCCTGAAGGTGCTCTGTGGCATGGACAAAGGTAGGTACGGTCCCGGGCCACTCAGAATGCTGCCAGCTGCCCTTGGTTTATTCCAGGCCGAGTAATCTTTTGTGCCTTGGCAAGGGTGCGAGGGCACAGGGCAAACATTTACTGATCACCGGCACTCAGAAAGATGTTGGTCTCCTGAGAGGAAGGCAGAGCCCCCGAAAGACCTGTCTTACCACCCTATTCCAGCCAAGTTTGTCTTTGGAGGATGCCAGGGGTGGTCAGCCCGGATCTGCTCTGAGCCGGAGTGAGTGCGCTCTCTCTGGTGCCTCAGGCACCTCATCTGGAGGGAGAGTGGGGAGGTGACGGGGCTGACTGAGCGGGTGTGCGTCAGTGGCACACAGGGACACCCGTTGCATAGGGGGCACTCGGGCTCTGCGGTCGCTGGCGCTAGTGTGGTTGTAGCGTCAGCACCAGGGAAGCTTGATCCAGCTCCCTGGTCCTGGGCCTGCCACTCTGTGCTGGGGTGTCCCGGGCGTCCCGCCCATTCCACGGCACCATCCAGGCGAGCTTCCTCCCACTGGCGAGGCGGTCCTAACTGCTGCAGATCTGGGGACCACACTGTCCCCTGAGAGGCTGCCACTTGGGCCCTGCCTTTGCACGAGACAAGAGGGAGAAGGGTGCCGTTGAGGCACTTTGTCTCAGGGAGCACGAGGACATGTGTGGGGAGCCATTCCTCTCCACAAGTATGACTGCTGAGGGAGAACTTTTTCATGGTACTTTTCCTAGAATCAGGAACAAGTGTCTGGGCCATGCAGGTAGCCTTATCGGGGTGTGCCTCAGCCACCTGAAGAGTCTGCATCCTTCTCGGTAGGGCCAAGTTGGTTGAATTTTACAAATAACGATGACTTTTGATAGGTCACATATCCTATGCGGACAGGATTGAGAGCTCACAGCCGCCGCATCACAGGATGATAGAGATGTGCCCCGCTTTAAGGAAACCTGCGCATGTAAGGGGGAGCATCTCAATTACAGAATAGTGTCTCACTTAGCCAGAAATTTGTGGCAGGTTTCCTAGTGCATTTAAAATAGGATTTGTGTATAAAAATACCATTTGCACACAGGAGCCCATCTTTTTTGAAAAGGGAAATATACTTGTATTGGGCATTTGGGATAAAGTAGAATAAAAATAAAATCTTACAAATACAAGAACTGGAAACCAAATTCCACTTTTAATTCTAAAAGGTTTATATATAACTTACTATCTTACCCTCTCCTCCTACCCCAGACTTTCACAGCAGAAATAAACAGGCAAGAGCTGGCATTTTAGGATGCGGCAGGAACGAGGAAAGGACGGGCAAGCATGTGTGCGGGTGGGTGGGCAGGAGGAGCACCATAGGCGAGTCTGGGGACCCTGCCCCACCGCGGTGTTCTGTTTGATCTGTTTGTGGACATTTGTGAGGCCTGGCCTAAAACATTCCTGCTGGATCCTTTCCAATCAGGCTGGCCAGTGGGGTGCAGGTGGTAATGACTGTGCAGTTTTACTTCCCCCACCCCCCCCCCCCCCCCCCCCTGCACTACCACCACAGACCTGTAACCACAGAGACGTACTGAGGTATGACAGATGGGGTTTAGGGAAGGCCTGGAGGAGAGGGTGACTCTGGAATGCTGATGTGGTGCACTTCTTTCCTTCCAGAAATGTTCCCACTGCCAGGAGGCAGGTGCCACCTTGGGCTGCTACAACAAAGGCTGCTCCTTCCGATACCATTACCCGTGTGCCATTGACGCAGGTAAGACGGGACTACGTACCCTTATCCAGAGCATCTGAAGGGCGGGACGTACATTTTGGTTCCTTCCCTGCCTTCTTTCCTCTCTTTATAGTTCTTTTTGTCACTTCTGACCCTGTTCTGTTTGTCAACTCTAAAGGAATGCAGAGAGGATAATAAAAAGGAGTGAAATGGGGTCATAATAACAGTTTTATTCATATAATTCACATGATTCACTATTTAAGTGTACAATTCAGTGGTTTTTAGTAGATCCACAAAATTGTGCAGCCATCACCACAATCAGTTTTCGAACATTTTCATCACCTCGTAAATTCCTACCCGTTAGCGGTCACTCACCCTCCACCCACTCCAGCCCCTGGCAACCACTGATCTACTTCTTGTCGTGATGGATGTGCCTGTTCTGGGGCATTTTGTAGAAGTGGAATCATACCGTACATACTCTTTATGACTGGCTTCTGTCCCTTAGCATAATGTTTTTCAGGTTTATCCATGTTGTGACGCGTGTCACTACTTCATTTTTATTGCCAAACCATATTTTAAGGACACCATATTTTAGGCCATATTTTATTTATCATTTAACAGTCGATGCACGTTTAGGTGTTTAGGTGGTTGTTCACTTTTTTTTTTTTTAAATGTTTATTTTTAAGGAAGGAAGAGACGGAGCGTGAGCGGGGGAGGGACAGAGAGGGAGACAGAATCCAAAGCAGGCTCCAGGCTCCGAGCTGTCAGCATAGAGCCTGATGCGGAGCTCGAATCCGTACAGTGAGATCATGACCTGAGCTCAAATCGGACATTTAACCAACTGAGCCACCCAGGCGTCCCTGCCTTTTCTTATATCTAAGAAACTGTTGCCTAATCCAGAATCACAAAGATTCATGCCTATGTTTTCTTCTAAGAATTTAGCTCATACACGGGTCTTTGATCCACTTTGAGTTAATTTTTATATATGGTGTGAAGTAGGAGTCCACTTCATTCTTTCCATGTGGATTTCAGTTGTCTTAGCTCCGTTTGTAGAAAAGACTGTTCTTTTCCTCGTGGAATGATCTTGGCACAACTTTGTCAAAAACCAGTTGACCATAGATGGATGGGCTTATTTCTGGACTTTCTCCAGTCCCACGAAGTCTTGATTACTGTAACTTTGTAGTAGATTTTGAAATTGGGAAGTGGGAGTCTTCTAGTTTTATTCCTTTTTTCAAGATTGTTTTGGCTATTCTGGGTCCTTTACTATTTCCTGTGAATTTTAATTAAGATCAACTGGTCTGTTTCTGTACAGAGAAGCCATTGGAGCTCTAGGGATTGCACTGAATCTGCAGGTAAAGTTGGGGGGTTTTCCCATCTTAACCAGTAGTATGTCTTCCAACTCATGACCAGACGAGATAGTTTCACAGTTTAAGTTTTACACTTGTTAAATTTATTCTTAAGTATTTTACTATTTTTGGTGTGATTGTGAGTGGAATTGTTTCCCTGATTTAATTTTCACATTGTTCATTGTGAGCGTATAGAAACACACTTGATTTTGTTGTTGATCTTGTATCCTGCAACTTTGCTCAGCTCGTTGATTAGTTCTAATAGTTTTTTAATGGATTTCTACATACAAGATATGTCATCTGCAAATGGGTAGTTTTACTTCTTCCTTTCCAATCAGATGCCTTTTATTTCTTTTTCTTGCCTAATTGCCCTGGCTAGAACATCTAGCATAATGTTGGGTAGCAATGGCAAGAGCTGACATCCGTGCCTTGTTTCTGACCCATTAAATGTGATGATAGCTATGGGGTTTTCATAGATGTTCTTGATGCAGCTGAGGAAGTTACCTTCTATTCTTAGTTTGTTTAGTGGTTTTATCATGAAAGGATACTGCAGTTTTTCCTTTTTCCATGTCTGTTGATGTGATCAGAGTAGTATTTTGCAGTGTCGTAACTGTTGAAAGAAGGGGAAACTTTCGCCCAGAAAGTTCCATCCAGTGAGTGATACAGAAGCCTTAAACTTTTTTTTTTAAATTTTTTTAACGTTTATTTATTTTTGAGACAGAGAGAGACAGAACATGAACAGGGGACGGGCAGAGAGAGAGGGAGACACAGAATCTGAAACGGGCTCCAGGCTCTGAGCTGTCAGCACAGAGCCCGATGCGGGGCTCAAACTCATGGATCGTGAGATCATGACCTGAGCCGAAGTCGGACGCCTAACCGACTGAGCCACCCAGGCGCCCCAGAAGCCTTAAACTTTTTTTTAATGTGTATTTATTTACTTTTGAGAGAGAGAAAGAGAGTGCAAGTAGGGGAGGGGGAGAGAGAATCCCAAGCAGGTTCTGCGCTGTCAGCACAGAGCCCAGTGCGGAGCGTGATCTCACAAATTGTGAGATCATGACCTGAGCCTAAATCAGGAGTCGAATGCTTAAACCGACTGAGCCACCCAAGTGCCCCAATGACGCCTTAAATTTTGACTCAGAGCTTTAGCCTGGGAAAGTCCTCTTCTTTTAGACTCCTGTCCTTTCAGTGGACGTTTTCACCTGTAACTTGTTGAGCATGTGACTGAGGGCTTCACCTCAGCGGCCCTCATAATATAGTAAAACCATGGATTGTGAGTAACTTGTTCTGTGCAAACATTTCTAATAAATTTTAACTTGATAAGTGAGCAGTGTCTTGCAATACAAGTAGTACGTGACGCCGAATGTCACATCACGACTGAGCCAATGGTTCTTGAAATTCACCTTGATGTACAAGTGCTTTGGATTATAAGCATGTTTCCAGAAGGAATTATGCTCGCAAACCAAGGTTTTACTGTACTTTCATTCAGGAAGGAGGGGGAGAAAAAGGGAAAGGTCCACGAGAGGGCAGTGAGTGGCAGGATGCTTCTTATGCCTGAGTGCTTGAGGAAGGAGTTCCTCCTTCCATGGAGGCAGCCCCGCTCTCCCCAGAAGGTGAGGTTTGATTTAGAATTGGCAGGCAAGCGGGGAGGGCATGGTTGAGCAGGTGGCGGAAGCAGGTACAGCAGCGTGAGGCACACAGAGTAGAATCCGACAGACGTGGGGAGAAGTGTGTTATCTGGATGCTGCTTCCTTCCATTGTGGTTGTTGGAGCTGCAGGCCCTCTGCCTCACAAGTCCTTCTCTTATTCCTCCTTTCCCTCTCTGATTTTCCTTCCAAGTTTCCATAGGAGGCATAGCTGAACACCAGAAAGATCCAGAAAGATAATGCTTATTATGCCAAAGTTAGTTCTCATGAAAGTATGCATTTGCACGTTGAAGGGCAGCTGGTGGCTGGGACGCTGCTTGGCCAGAGCGAGTAAGAAGACAGCCTTAAGATGTCAATTCAGGGATCTTGGGTTTTAGTCCGTCCTTTCCATTCTCTTTCTTCCTTTCCCCTCCATGTTTCTTTGTTGAGTCGGAGCTGTCATTCACCCTGGGTTGTGGTCCAGCATATTCCCGAGTATAGCCATTCATTCCTCTCCCTCAAGAGCCAGCCACTGCCTTTTCTCATTGTCATGATATTGCCCCTGGTTACATTCTCTTTCTCGTTTAAGCTTCGTGGTTTTTAAATGAAGATGTTTAAACATATTAAGTTTGTGGCAGTTTATAATTTTGTGCGGGGAATACTGTAAGATTTGGCTGTCCCAGTCAGTGGCCAGGTGAGAGGTAATCTCCTGCACAGAGGCTTTGCCCAGAAACATCCAGTGAGCCACAGGCAGATAACATCGTACACAACCCCCACCCCCGCATGAGTGCACTCCCTGTCTGCACCCTGGGGCGCCAGCCAGGTTAGGGACCAGGCTCACAGCCTGCCTCCTGGCAGTTTCTCTAGGGATTAAGCAGGGTGCTCGGTAGGACTCTGCCATAATGGGAATGTTCTAGATCTGCACTCTCCAGCATAGTAGCCACAAGCCTTGTGTTACTACTAAGTGCTTAACATGTGGCTAGTTGGGAATGAGGGACTGAATTTTTATTTTACTTCATTGTATTTAAACTTAAACTTTACATGTCCCCGTGTGGGTAGCGGCTGGAAAGCCTGGGCTTATAGTTCACTGCCTCCTCCAAGCTCCGGCGGCGGGACTGGGTTGTCTGGGAAGTGGCGCTGGGCTCCTCTTCCTCTGCAAAGGAGGCTTGCTCAATCCGCCACTCTGCAGGGAAGCAGGGGCTGCTTCACCAGCTGAAGATTAGTAAGAAAATGGTATTTGTCACTCTCTGTTTGAGCCTGTCTTGTGTGGCCTTCCCAGGTGAGTTGAGAACATGACTGTTTGGCAGAAATTGGTGGCCGAGTATCCGGTGAGAGAGGGGCTGCCTGGGTCAGGGGGGCGCCCAGGTGGGGCCAAGGCCCTGACGCTGTTGCCCCAGCTGCTGCTGGCTTTACCGCTGCTCCACGTGAAGATCTGGGACCAAGGAAGCAGCATCACAGGATGACCGTGTCTTGGGATTTATCAGTCTTTTTTGATGACCTGAGTCACAGTGACCCAGAAGGCCACACTGCTCTGTGGGCATAGATGCTTGTGTTTATCCCACAGGGTCTCCTGAGGAATTCTGTTCTATATGTGATGGATCTGTGTGTCCAGGAAAGGCGTTCATTGATTGACTTCCTTCCTAATTATACGTCCCTGGGTTGGAGAGTCCCTCATTGCTACTTGTTGTAAGGAACAGTTGAACACTTTCATCTATGCCTGGCTGTGAACCACCCAGACCTTTACAGAGCTGTTCGTGTCTAAGAGAGAACTTTTATGGCTGGGGACATCTCCACGGAAACAGAATCTTGTTCTCCTGAGGGTCCGTAGCTGCCACAGCTTCCCTCCACCTGTTGTTGGTCCTGCGCTAGTGACATCATGGTTGGCTGTCCTGTGCTACTTGTTCCGTCACAGGCGCAGCCTGGGGCTCCGGGGAGATGCAGTGAGGAGAACGTGAGCACTAGTTTCAAAAGAAATGACATATTAATGCAATGAGCCACAGCAATTAAGACCAAAAGAAAAAAAGGACTGCGGTAGCACATTAACAACTACTGTGCATAAAGAATCCAGCCTGGAGGGGGTTTTCCTCTTCCCCTCGGGAGGAGGCCCAGCTGGAAACTTGCTTTCTGCAGCCACCCTTGCAGCAGCGTTTAGAAGCCGCTCTTCCACTGCACTTTGATCTTGATCTTGCCGCAGAGTGGGTTCAGGGCCCTTGAGCGGACTGGTGTCTGGCCCTTCCCTGGAGGGGCCACGCTCTGCACCCTAGAAGCAGTGCCAAGGCCTTGCTTGCCCTGCCCTGATAGCCCCCTCCTTGGGCCCAGCAAGGCAGGTGAGACTGGCAGGTCCCCGTGTCCCGGCCTGGATTTTACCAATCTAAGTACTAACTAGCTCTGAGGTGGGTTGCAGGTGAGCCGGTGACAGCTTCTGGAGCCTGGCACGTGTGAAGGACATGAGCCCTCCCCTCTCCTTTCCTCCCTCCTCGAGTTTACCATCCACACCCAGGGTGGCTGTGGCTGCATGTGAGTATCTGAAGCTCCAAGGAGCTTGTCATGAGGATCTCAGTGAAGACGAGCGTAGAGAGAAATGAAAGCGGAATCCTCTTCTGGGGCATCGGTGTTTGTGTCTGGAAGCCGTCTTGTTGACGAGACAACCTTGTGAGTCTTTTCCAGCGTGTGTGATGATCCGGCAAGCCATTTACTTTGACTTCAGTGTGTGGAAGTGCTGACCAGGCCCTCTGGCCAGTGCAGGATATCACCAGGGGCTTAAGGAAAACAAATCGAGAGGCTGGCTGGCTGTGTAGGGCGGGTGCCTGCTGAGAGACCTCAGGAAAGGCCTCACCGCGCCCCTTCCCCCCAGCAAGGGCTGGTTCGAGGCAGCCAAGAAGAGGCTCCCCGTGCCCTTGCGGGTGTCTAAGTTCTCTGGCCCTGGTTCTTGTGCCTGCCAGGAGCGTGATGGCGGTTCCTGGTGGCCTGTGGGTATTCCAAGCACAGATGAGAGTGTTTGTCTGCAGTCTGTCTGCGCGGGAGATGTTGCCACAGGTGGACGTGGTCTCTGGCAGATTTTGTTAGGAGCCTTGCATTTGCAGAAGTACCTGACATTAACTCTAGTTGCTTGTAGTGTGTACTTAGATTACTTTATTTCTTTTCTGCTTTTTAACTTAGAGGGAACGTGTTTCCTAGCTTCAGACATATTTTACTAATGGTCTCTCACAGCTGGTGACTCCTCGTGGCTGGGAGGCGGACGGAGCCGCCTCTGCCTCTCGGGTGGCACCGTTTCCAGCCAGCGTGGTCCCCCTCCTCGTTTCTCTAAACCCCTATGGCGTCGAGGTGGCCGAGCCCCACGTGGGCTCTGCCGTTTGTTTCTCTGTGGCCCAACCTAGAGACCGCCAGCACGCGGCGCTGCTAAAGCCCAGGTAAGGAGCAAGTGCTTCCCTTGAGCTCCAGTTGTCTGTGTCCTGCTGTTCATAAGCTCTCTGGCAGATTGGAGCAGCAGGAGCCTTGGTCACGCCATGTACTTGTGGGTTTTAAATTAACACATTTCATTTACTGCCATGCTATTTGCTTGCAGGGGGAGGGCTCGGAGGTTAGCGGACTTGCGGAGCTCCTGTGCCCTGAGGCTTGCCCCGGGAGCAGGGAGGCTGCCTGCCCACCCCTGGGTGTTCAGAGGCTCCAGGGGGAGGCAGTGATGGGACAGGCCCGGCCCAATTATGAAAGGGTCTTTTTCTGTTTGTTTAAGATATCAAGGACCTCAGAAGTTTTCATTTGTGTGTTCCCTTGCTCATTACTATTTCATCTGAAATCTGTGGGTACACAGGCTGCGAATTTGGACCTCAGTTTAAACCTGAGTTAAATCATACATTTAACAAGGCTAAGTACCGTGGCTGCCTCCCGCCATGGTGCCCGGGAGCTCTCTGAGAATGTGCGATCAATATTTATTAACATTCTGCCATCACATCTTGCACCGGTGACCTGGCTGTCGGTCTCCGGGAGCTGTGGTGTGCAGAGCGAATTCATTAATTAGATCTCTTCGCCCCGCTCCACACGCTACCCCTGTGCCACGGAGCTCGACTCACCTGGAGGCGGATGCGTGTCCTTGCTGTCAGCGAGGATGCTGTCACCACGTTAAAAGTTGGAATGAATCATTTTCCTCCAAGGATTAGTAACCCCCTCGTGGGATTTCGTTTTCCCCTGAAGCATTTAGTGTGGATTATGTGGTTCGTGTCAGGAACTTCTCCTGTGTCTCCGTGGGTTGTACAGCAAAGGTGATAGATGGCAGGGCTTGCAACAGAGGAGAAAGGTGCCTCCGGATTTGGGGCGTTTTCACAGGGAAGCTTCAGCTTGGGCCTGTGGGAGGGGCTTAGCCTAGAATCAGGGATCTTAAAAATAAGATTTATTGGAGGTTGTTTCTCATTATTAAAATAATATGGTGTAATCGTGGAAACATGTAAAAAAATAAAATAAAATCACCTATGTGGTCTTGCTGCCCAGAGAGAAGCACTGTTAGATTTTGGTAAATTTCCTTTCTTTTTTAAAATGCATATATAACACACTTTGTTAAAATTAGGATTGTACTTCTATATTTATGTATCCTGGCATTTCAAGCCATTTTGTGTCATGAGTGTTTCCCTGTACCACTGGCTGTTTTGAAACACTAATGCTTTAAGTGACTGATGTTCCATCATGTTGCAGTCCCGTAGTTTATTTGGGGGTGTTTCTGATGTTTTAGAAACGCCAGTGCGGGGGCCTCCTATCTCCATGTGTGACCCTGTCAGTCCTGGCTAGCGTGGCCCCACTCCCCTTGGGCTGTGCTGTCTGCCAGCTGTCTGACTGCCCCTTTCTGTCTTGCAGATTGTTTGCTACATGAGGAGAACTTCTCGGTGAGGTGCCCCAAGCACAAGGTGAGTCAGAGCTAGTGCCCCCGGCAGGCTGCGGGGGGGAGGGAGGGGTGGGGTTCTGCATGAGCTACAGACCAGAATTTGGAGAACCCTTGTGATCGGACTCTGGTCCGCTCCTGGCCCTGGGAGGGCAGAGAGGCCCTGTGCTCTCTGGGGGAGGTCTCTCCCTGCAGGAGGGAGACCTGTGCCCTGGGGCGACACCCCCCCCCCATGTGGTGTGGGAGGCTGGGAGAGATGTCTGGAAGCAGAAGGTGTGTATCTGATTGTTAAGAGAAATGCGAAGATGAAACTCAATAAAACCACTGATTTCCATTTTAGTTTAATGGAACCCCAGTTCACAGGTTGGCGCAAGGTAAGATTGGTTGTAGGCCTTGGTGCATAATCAGAGGCATTTTCCCAGACTGAAAGAAATAAGACTTGACTCAGGGTTTTGCTGGGAAACTCAGTCTCTTCTAGATCTTACCTCACTCAGCGGAAGCAACCTGTGGTGTGGTTGGTGGGCCGCCGCCACCTGATTTCCCACATCATTCAAGAGGCGTCTCTCCTCTCTTGGTGGCCCCTTTAGGAAATGATGGAAGATCTGGGGTGACTGGGCCATTGCTGAGCCAGCACGTGTGGGGGAGGAGGGAGGGAGGGTGCAGAGGGGGGTGCGGGGAAGCCCTGGAGAGGATGGGGGCTGCGGCCAAGGTCTGTCGCCTCCTGGAGCTCCTGCAGCGCTCCTGCAGCGGCCGTGCTGTCCTCTGGCTGAGGTCACACTGACACCTGGTGGTCACTGGACGCTCACAGGCTTCAGTCTCCGACTGGGGCCAGAGCGAACTAAGAAGCCATCCTGACAGTCTGCCTTCAAAACACTTCTGAAAGATGCTTACTCTGGCTTTTCTTTAAAAGTTTACTTCCAGAGATGGATCCTAGGATCTTATAGTATTCTCTTCGAGTTAATTTGCATTTTTTTTTTATTTTTTAAACTTCTCTAATGGTCACATTTTGTCTTAGAAAACCCTGTCTGAATATCTCCTGTTTGTCATTCAATACTGACTCTTTGCTTTTTCTTTCCTTTTCCATGTGCCATTCCTCTCCTCGCCTCTGCCCTCCCTGACCCCCACACTGTTCTTCTGTCCCTCCTGTCTCGTGTCCTTGGCTTTGCCGGCGTCAGCCTCCCCTCCCATTCCCCCTCCCCCCCTTGCAGAACAAGACAGCGAAAGGCAGCCTCAGCACAGAGCAGTCGGAGCGGGGGTGAGGGGGGCAGAGTGCTCGTGGGAATGGAAAGTACAGCAAGCACAGGTGAGTCGGGGCCGGCACCCCTGCCAGAGTCCCGGTGGGTGTCATGGCCTCTGCCCTCCTGCTCGCCCCAGGCCCGGCTGCACCCAGGCCCTTTAAGCACGTGGACGGCCGACACCAGGTGGATAGAACGTCTCCCCGTCCGTCGCTTAGCTTCCCTGGAGCCCGAGGAGGGGTGATTGAGGCTGTCCCGTTGCCCGTCGGAGCTCACAGAGACCGAGCTGAAGTCACGCCGTGCGCGCGCGCGCGCGCGTGCGTGCGTGTGTGTGCGCACGCGCGCGTGCGCGTGCATGTGTGGTGCTCCCGGAGGCTTCTGGGACAGACCCTGCCAGCAGCCCACCCCCTGTGTCCGACTCAGAAATGCTTCTAGCCAGGGGGCTGTCCTTTTTTATTTATTCCCTCTCTGTAAAGCTTATGGTGGCTTTTCCTTTGAAAAACAAAAAAATTCCCAGTTTTGTTCTTTGAAATCTCTTTCCCCAAGTACTGTGAAGGACTCCTTTGCGCAAAAGTACAAAGGGAAGGAAAATCCCCTCAAAGATTTAGGAGACTTTAGCATCCGATTTAATTTTACTCCTAAAAACCTCAAGAGATTGAGTTATGCTTTTTGCGAGTGTGTCCGGGCTCGTGGTCAGGGCGGCGTGCATCTGTGAAAACGGGATTAGAGGACCAGCGTCCCCAGAGGCAGCGGGCGTCCCCTCCTCCCCAACTGGCTTCCTTGCCCCTCCCCCCTCACATGGAGTCACTGAGGACTGAGCAAAAGAGACCATAAAGAGAAAAAAAGAAAAGCCAAAATGTAACTTGAGGTGGTTGCTCCTATAGGATGGGGTGGGGGGAGCCAGTTGTCTCAGAAATGTTCATTAAGGGATTATTTCTCTTCAAATGAAGGGCTTCTGTGTTGACTCCCGGCGTCTGAGAGCCACACACAGGTGCGCTTAGTCTGTGGCACGTTTCCTCCCCCTGTTACAACCGGCAGATTCCACCTTTCTCTGGAATACCCAACAGTAATTTGAGGAAAAAATAGAATTTGTCTCAGACAGTGGCGGTTTTTGTCCTTTGAGAAGTCCTCGTTCTTCAGGTGGGTCCTGGTACGGAATTCCAGAGAAGCCCCCTCTGCTCCGCCGTGGAGGCTGCAGGGCTGTGGAGGCCTGTGGTGCTTTCTCGAGGGGGCTGTCGAGTGAGGCCTTTGCAGTTAGGCCTGTCTTCCTCTCCCAGGGAGGGGGCTGAGGAATGGAAGGGACAGAGCAGAACAGGTGGTTGGGTCTCAGGAACCAAATGAGCACACTGCTGCTAGCAGCAGCCCTGGGTTTCTGGAATGCAGCGAGGCCACTGTTCCTGTCCTCCTTCCCCACCGAGCAGCCCCTGGGGCAAGACAGCAGGCTGGTTGCTTTTCCAGCTTGTTTCTGTTGGCCTTTGTCCTGTGCCTGGGCTCTGCCTTCTTCCTGTCAACTCCACTGCCTGGCTGCCGGGCAGAGCCACATGCTACAGGGGCCACAAGGAACATTCTGGAAGTGCCCTTGGATGACCAGGTTAGGGAAAGAACCAGTTGGTGCTGAGTGCCTTTTGTTTTTGTCCCAGAATCCCAGCTCATGTTTGGAGAGGGATAAAAACAAAAAAAGGAAGTCTGAGCCCTGGGCCTGGTGAGCAGAACTCCAGTTGGGAATTTTAATTTCGTTCACCAACTGCTTCCTCTCCAGCCAGCCTTGGGCCCTGCCAGCCAGTAGCCCTCGGCCCCCGCTGAAGCTTCAGCATTCAGACCTCAGTGTCGGTGTGTGCTTCCCACGTGCACAAAAGACACTGCAGCTCTGAGTGGTGACGGCCTGGCCCATCGGTGTGGGGTCCAGCTTTGTCCACCTGAAATGATTTTCTTCATACGCTGTCCCCACAAGGCGGGACCCTTGTCCCGCTTTCTCAGTTCAGCCATCTCGTTGAGAGCAGTGGCCCTCCACAGATTGTATGGGAACCCCAGTAATCGGAGACAGAGAACATTTCATCTTGGGGCCCTTTCTAGGAACAGAGAGCCACAATCAATGGGTGACCCTGACAAGGCAGGGAAGGGACAGGAGTACATGAGTCCTGCTTCTTGGTGCCCCCCTTTCTCACACAGAAAGTGCTATGTAACCAGGGGCAGGCTGCTAAATGCCTCTGCTTCTGTTTCTTCTGTAAAGAGAGGAATGACGATGGCCCACCTTGTGAGGATTCGGTCAAGAAATGTCTTTAACATGTCTGTGCAGTGTAGTGTGGGGTGCTGGCCTGCCATGCCCGGCTGGGTGGGACCCTGTGCCTCCCTGTCTAACACAAAGCCCGGGGGCTGGGAGGTGGGAGTTCTAGTCCTTCCGGGACAAGGTACCTGCACTTGTCCCTCAGCAGGCCAACATGGCCAGGGTGGAAAGCTCCTTGGGCAGACAGTCACCCGGTGGGCCGCCTCTTCCCCACTTGTGAGTGTCAGGAGGCAGGGCGATAGGCCGGTGGGTGCCCGCCCTCGCCCTGTGCTAACCCCTAACCGTGCCTCCAAAGGCCTATAGGAGTGTCCAGTGAGCTCCTCGGAGTCCAGACTTCCTCCCTAGGGGCCTTGGCACTTGCCATCCCCCTGGGCCTGGGTACTCTCCCCCCCGCCCCCGCCCGCCCCCCCCCCATCTTCAGTGACAGGCTCCCTCTCCTCTCGGGTCTCTGCTTCCATGTCACTTGCTCACGAGGCCTTCCCTCCTGAGCCCCTGTCTAACCACCTCCTTCCCAGGCTGCAGCCTTCTTAGGCCAATTTGGAATCATTTGTTCGCTTGCGTATGTGCCTCTCCAGTAAACTGTGTCCCCACTGAGGACAGGAACCGTGTTTGGATCTGCCCACTTGTGCCCTAGCCCAGCGCGCGCACAGGGCGACGCGGGCAGTCGGTTAGAGGGGGGCACACAGTCCCACCCCGACAGGTGGAAACTGGCCAGGTAGGGTGGGCTGGGTGATGGATTCTGGCTGCGGTTAGAGAAGGTTGGGGAAGGCAGGCTGTGCCTGTGCGGCCAGAGGCCTGTCCAGGCCACAGAGGTGACGCTGAAGGGGAAGGAAGGCGGGAGCAGAGGAGAGCGGGAGTCCGGGAAGGCTGTAGCCCAGGGTGAGACCCTGTCCGCTGGCAGCCGGACACCAAGGTGCCTTTTACAGAGAGTGGCTGCAGCTGGCACGGCGTTTGCCCCTGGCTCCCCGCCCGGGACCATGCCGTCTCGGCCACGTCCCACGTGGTTGGACAAGACCACGCGGTGACTGAGGCTCGAAGGCAGGGTCCCGGGGGCCCAGACAGAAGGGCTTTGCCGGGTGGGAGCCCCAGTCCCAGCAGCCCCTGTCAGCACCCCCCGTGGCTTTGGGTCCCCGTGAGACGGGGGTCAGGCCTTGGTGTCCTCACGAGGACCCCTGTAAAACTGCTGGCATAGTACCTGGCACCCGAATTTTCTTCCTGTGCTCCCTGTCGAAGGAACAGCTTTTTAGAAACAGCTCTGAGAAGTTAGGGTCCCCTGACATTCAAGGGGTCACATATTCAGGGCAGTCTGACATCAGACCCTGAGGAAAGGTCCCTGTTAGCAAGGCTGGCAGACAGAGCCAGGCAGGAGGTGCTGTAAAGGCCACGGCTGCCTAGACTACCAGGCGCTCCAGAGCCCGAGGTCAGCACCCTGCCAAGTCCCGCCACCCCGGCCAGGCTGACCCCAGGTGCTGGGCCTGCTTCATTCTGAGGTTGGGGGCCGGGGTGGGGCCTGCTCTTTTGAGCAGCCAACAGGCTGGGGCTGCAGGCCCAGCGCTGTGCCAAGGGACCCCACCCTGTCCCTCCCTCCACACGCAGGGCCTTACGCGGTGTGCCTGGACGGGTGTCCTGCGTCCCCAGCAAGATTCCCCACTCTGGCTGTCGCTTGAGTCATCCCATCAGCTCCACCCTTGTCATCACCTTTACACGGGACCTTTGGTTCTCTCCCCTCCCCTGGCGGCCTTCACCTCAGGAAAACCAGAGGGCGGAGTGGAGAGTCTCCCCGTGCTGGGGGCCAATCAGAGCATGGGCCGGAAGGGCCGGGGCGACCTCTGGGGCCCAGGGCCACCTCCAGAACTAGGGAAGCCACGCTGTCGCCGTGGACGTCCTGAGTGGCTGCTGGAGCCCTGGAGTTTGCCTCACCTGAGTGGGATGACGTTGTCCTGCTGTCTCTGCAGAAGGGCTTCCCGTGTAACCATGTTTTACGCCAAGCAGTTAGGCATCTCTTTTCAGCAAGGGCAGGTATACGTTCGGGTGCTTCTAAATAGAAGGTTCTTGGCTCCTGCACACAGATAGCCTTCTTAACTGTCGTGCCTCTTAGTTGTATGAGGACAGAAAAGGGACAGCACCGCCTGGGTTTTCCTGGGGGTTATTTGTTGGAGGGGGGCACCAGAGGGGGTCGGAGGGAGAGGGGGGCACTCTGAGTAGCAGGGAGCA